AAATTGCGAAAATTCCTGAAAATTGCAGAAATTGCAATAATTGCAAAAATTCCGGAAAATTGTAAAAATTCCTTAAAATTCCTGAAAATTGCAAAAATCGCAAGAATGACTGAAAATTGCAAAAATCGCAAAAATGCCTGAAAATTGCAAAAATTCCTGAAAATTTCAAAAATCGCAAAAATGCCTGAAAATTTCTGACAGCTAAAATTGCCAAAATTACTGAAAAATGCAAAAAATCCTGAAAATTGCAAAAATACCTGAAAATTGCAAAAATTACTGAAAATTGCAAAAATTGCAAAAATTCCTGAAAATTGCAAAAATTCCGGAAAATTGTAAAAATTTCTGAAAATTCCTGAAAATTGCAAAAATCGCAAAAATGCCTGAAAATTGCAAAGATCGCAAAAATGCCTGAAAATTGCAGAAATTGCAAATATTCCTGAAAATTGCAAAAATTGCAAAAATTCCTGAACATTGCAGAAATAGCAAAAATTTCAAAAATACCTGAAAATTGCAAAAATTCCGGAAAATTGTAAAAATTTCTGAAAATTCCTGAAAATTGCAAAGATCGCAAAAATTCCTGAAAATTGCATAAATTGCAAATATTCCTGAAAATTGCAAAAATTGTAAAAATTCCTTAAAATTCCTGAAATCTGCAATTTCTGCAATTTTCAGGAATGTTTGCAATTTTTGCAATTTGCAGGACTTTTTGCGATTTTTGCAATTTTCAGGAATTTAGTAATTTTTACAATTTTCCGGAATTTCTGCAATTTTTGCATTTTTCAGGAATCTTAGCAATTTTTGCAATTTTCAGGAATTTTTGCAATTTTTGCTATTTTTGCAATTTTCAGGCATTTTTGCGATTTTTGCAATTTTCAGGAATTTTTACAATTTTCCGGAATTTTGCGAAAATTCCTGAAAATTGCCGAAATTGCACTAATTGCAAAAATCGCAAAAATTCCTGAAAATTGTAAAAATTGCGAAAATTCCTGAAAATTGCAATAATTGCAAAAATTCCGGAAAATTGTAAAAATTCCTTAAAATTCCTGAAAATTGCAAAAATCGCAAGAATGACTGAAAATTGCAAAAATCGCAAAAATGCCTGAAAATTGCAAAAATTCCTGAAAATTTCAAAAATCGCAAAAATGCCTGAAAATTTCTGACAGCTAAAATTGCCAAAATTACTGAAAAATGCAAAAATTCCTGAAAATTGCAAAAATACCTGAAAATTGCAAAAATACCTGAAAATTGCAAAAATTCCTGAAAATTGCAAAAATTGCAAAAATTCCGGAAAATTGTAAAAATTTCTGAAAATTCCTGAAAATTGCAAAAATCGCAAAAATGCCTGAAAATTGCAAAGATCGCAAAAATGCCTGAAAATTGCAGAAATTGCAAATATTCCTGAAAATTGCAAAAATTCCTGAACATTGCAGAAATAGCAAAAATTTCAAAAATACATCTAGGGATAAAAAAAATGAGGTTAGACTCTTTTTTCCACCCACAGTTCCACACTGTAGTAAATCTGACGTTACCTCTGTTCAAATTTACATGTGGTAGGCACAATCACGCGGAGTTCAATCATTTAAATTGTTTTAAAGTGGCGTACTTGATTTTTTTCTCGTATTTTGTTCAATTTTTGGGTTGAAATTTCTCGTTAATTAGAAGAATTGGAAAATATCTGATATCATAGGAATATTCCTTAGACTGTATCATATTAATTTGCTGAATATGTGCACTTATTTCAAAAACACCTTGTATATACTGTAACACATCGTGTAGTCGAAAATCAATCGAAAAAGTCGATTTCTTCGACAGGAGGCATTAAATTGGGTGTGGTATTAATTGCGTAAATGAGTGTTGATTACAAGAAATCGACTTTTTCGATGGATTTTCGACTACGCGATGAAAAACCTTCTGATGAATAGGTTTCTTGACTTCATGCCAGCTCAGGAATATCTTGAAACCATTGAAGCATCGTTATTGTATGAATTTTGGTCAGAAAAATCCAGAAGGCTTCCCTTGCGCCCCCTTGGATTGCCTTATCTGAAAAATCACGAAATCAATTCAAGATATTGAGCAGAGCAATCGATCCAAATGATGGATGATCATTAGCCGATTACAAGAATCTAGTTCTAGAAAAACGAACAATGACTTAGGATATAGATGCAATGGATATTTACTCAAATAGAAATTAAAACGTTAAAGAGTTGATAATGTAGAGAATAAAATGGGGTAAAACAGAGACGTATGCACCATGATCTGGAAAACAATGATTTAATAAGCTGTAAGAAGGAACATTCTTTTTCTCTAGATATTTGAAAACGTCAGTATCCAATTGGTAGGACTTTTCTCAATTATCCGCAGACTATACTGATGAAAAACTTTACGAAAGGAATATGAAAGAAACTCTAAAATGAATAATTTTTATTGGGTGACTGGAATTCGAGCCTCATCATTGATATCTCGTAAACCGTAAAAGATACAGGGTCCGTTAAATTATGGCAAGGTTGCATTTTGTATTCAAGTTATTGGAAGAAATTTATTCGAAATGAATGACACTTTATCATGGCCACTTTGTCTTCCTCACATGTCGGCGTTTTCAAATCTGAAAGCTGACGTTTCGTCTTCCAAAAACTATCATCAACTTGTTTTTTTTTTTAAATACGGACCTGGATTTCTTATTTGCTTTTGTCACCATTGAATATCTCGAAAGCTATGAGCTATCACAAATTTAAATTTTATAATGTTTCGTTTACAAAAATTGACATTTTCTGGATTTTTTTTTATGTTCAATACGATGGATGCAATTTGAAATATCTCAGTCAGGGATTATCATAACGAATTCAACGATACCGGTTTCGATAGGGTTATTTCGAACGATTACGAAGTTTCCATAAGCTCGATGGGTGTGACGGCGCAATATCGAAACGTCTTTCTGTGTCACACTCATTGAGCTTATGGAAACTGAATGCAAATATCTTCGTAATCGTCAAAAATTGGTAATTTTCGGACAAACCGAAAATACGCCAAAGCAATTAGATATGTCAAAAAGTGACAATTGAAATATAATATACAGCCCCCAAATTTCGTTTGACTGCCTCCAGGGGTGAGCCGCCTTGGAAAATCACCCAATACATATGTGTGAATATTCAAATATGCCAACATATTGATAATTCATTGTTGCAGAATTCTTGAATCATCAATGGGTGACAATAGATTTGTCTAGATCTGTCATAGTTCACTATATTAAGGGCGAGGTTTGAAGAGTTTTAACAAAATTAATTTTTTCTGTAACAGAAAAACGTTTGACATCTCATCTCTGCTGACAGATTATAAAATGTCACTTTTCATAGTTCAATTTCTTTCCGCGGGAAAGAAGTGATGACTTTTTTCCCTGATATATTCAGGAGGAAATATTCAAGAGGACGATTCTTGGACCCATTTCAAGAATAAAACTTCAAATGAACGTATGTCGCAAACGTCATAACTTTTGAGATACAGGGTATCAAAGTTGAACATATACAAATATTTTTTTGTCCACCCTGTATAGCTTTTTCTGATGGCAAAATTCATTCTGCTATGTGACTGAAACGGTGCAAAAATCTCAAAATGGAACATACTGTGGTTATTCAGTAATAGCTGTCCTGAATGGAGTACTCAAGCTTAGCATTTACATCAAAATTTGAAGTTTGATCTCGTTTTGTCGTTTTTTCTCGAAAACGGAACTTCCTGTCGGGTATCAACAAGAATATCTTTTTTGTACAGGGTGATTCACCATAAATGTTCCCCCCTCTAGCTCACTTATTTTTTAACCGATTTGAAAATTTGAAAAATCATTTAAAATGATTCCTCAGATTTTTATCCCGTTGCATCAGAAAATACAGGGTGCTCGGAACAAACGATCTATAGAGTACTACTTGATTTTTATGTATTTAATAAATAATTATTTATTATACAAGGGAAAAAAGTAGTAGATTTTAGCTCCAGACAAAAAACCGTGAGATAAAATCTAATATTTTTCCCGTGTATAATACACTATTTTTTTCTGTGGCAAAAGAATGGACGAATCAATATCGAGAAGATATTACATTATTTTGAAATCTGAAAATTACGACGTGAAATTTTAAGTTTTTTGAAGTAGGGACACCTGCGTTGTAGGCATCTCCATCATTCTTTTGAAGTAATCAAATATCTGATGTCACTTCTGTCATGAATGAATGTCATCTGAATCTTGCAAAATTCTAAATGCAAAATTGAGCACCCTGTTGAAAAACATGTCGCAAAATTACTGGATTGGTATACGTTGGACCTTGCTCCTACCGTATGCCAAAAATATTTTCAAAATCTGAATAAATGAATATACCATGCCCAATTCAACATGACTCTTCAATAATGGTAAAAATAGATTTATCAATTATAACTTGGCAACGCCGCAACCGATTTCAATTCTTTTCACAGCGATGTGAAGGTGAACCTCGACGGAATTAATTCCGAATGAACAATACTAGGTGTTCCATTTGAAAAAACTCTTCTTCGAGTTTCCCTGCTTTTATAAAACACCCAGTAATGTTGAAAATAATTTTGAAATGAGCAACTTCAGTAACTGAAAAAGTTTTTCATCCAAAGTTTTTCTCTATAGGTTATGGCTTTCGAGATATCGAAGAATTACGCACTAAATGGACACACTGTACATATATATCTGGGAAAAAAGTACTCACTTTTCCCACGGGAAAAAAGTAATTCATGAAGAATGACATTTTATAACCTGCCAACAGAGATGAAATGCCAAACTTTTTTCCGTCACAGAAAAATAACTAATTACTTATCAATTGGTTCATGTTGGCGTGCCTCGGGACTGCCCTGTATGCAACACGTGAAGAGCGTATTTATTGGATTGTTTACCGATTTACATCAGTGATTCCATAGATAGATCTAGAGTGTAATGATTTTTTGATTATGTATGAGTTCAACTTGAAATATAGAGAATTTGTTTTTTTCGACAGATACTTTTTATCAAACATGGACCCACTAGATGACTGGAATGAGTGTACGACAAAAGACACAGGGCAGTCGCTACAACCTAACAGAAAACTGCAAAGACGGCAGCTGATTGATAAGGCAGGCAAATTGAATAATGCTTCAGAGGAAACATTTTTGGAGGAACGGGAACTAGAAAAAAGGAGGAAGAAAGCTGAATATGCTAGAAATTATCGCGCTAAGAAGAAAAACAAGGAGAAATTCGACGCTGAACTTCAAGATCAAAACTATTGTATTGATCCAGTTCTGGCGGAAAAGAAGAGAAAGAGAGCAGAAATAAACAGAAGATATCAAACCAAAAAAAAGCTATTGAAACAAGAATCATCATGTACGGAGATTGAATCTGAAAGGTATCTTCAAATACGGATCGCAGAAAAGAAAAAAAACAAAGCCGAATATAACAGACTTTATAAAGCTAGGAAGAAATCTGCTATTCCTGAACCACAGGAAGGAGTTGGCCGTGAAAAAAGAGAAGCCAGTCCAGAAACTATAAGTCACAGGAAGAAACTAGCCAGGATTCGTGCAAAAAATTACAGAGAAAGAAAAGGTGCCAATGATATACTTCACAGAGTCAGGGGAATAGATAATTTCGAACTAGCCGGACATGGGCCATTTCCTAACGATAAAAATCATTGTTCACAAATCTCAGGCTCCTCCCCAAGAGAAGTTCCATTTGTACCCTCCATTCCACCTGAGAAATTTGATGCGGAACAAATAAAGCTGGAATTTGAAGTCGATTCCAACTATGAAATTGAAATGCATAGATTATTTCAGCAGCAAAATGAAGAGGGGATAACTCAGGACATACATTCAAAGGAACCCAAAATACGGGCTTCACAAGCTGGCCAGATGTATTCTTCATTTAGAACACATGTCTCAGCGCACAAAGAGTTCATCAAACAGTTCATTAATAATGAATTCGGATATGCTTGCGATGTGTGTGATAGACTTTGGTTCAAAAATGATTTGAGATCGATTCTGAACATAGACGAGACTAAGAACATACTATTAATCCGAAAACTGATTTTGGACAGCAAATCGGAATATAAATTATGTATTACCTGCAACGCGAGTATTCAAAAAAATAATATTCCACCCTTATCAGTATATAACGGGTTCAAGTATCCGCATTTTCCGGAAAATTTGAAAAACTTGAAACTAGATTTGGTCACAGAAAGATTAATATCTCCACGAATTCCCTTTAAACAAATAAGGCGGCTGCGACATGTGAAAGGACAGTACGGGAGTTATGGCCAAGTAATTAATGTCCCAGTTGAAATCAATACTATGATAAATGCCTTACCGCGATATGTTGATGATGATCATTGTATAAATGTTCACATCAAAAGGAAAAAAATACATAAGCCTAGCTTCCTGCACGGAGTAGTGAATAAGACAGTAATTGAGGCGTGGTTGGATTACTTGATAGAAACACCTCTGTACAAAATGTATGACATTACAATAAACAGGGATTCTATGATTGGCACAGGGAATGATGCCGATGACATGAAAGAATTAGCCTTAATTAATGACGATGAGCTGATGGAGGATATACCCATCGATGAAAGTTTGGTAGCGCAGCAACAATCTCTAATGTGGAATGAAGATTTTTATTTGAGAATCGCGCCTGAAAGTCTTTTGTTTGATGAGCATGCAGAGGAATTATCGTTTCCAGGAATCTACCTTGGACATTTTAGAAACTTCAGAGACGGAGTTACTGTAACTCCCTTTATGATGGCAACAAGTGAATTGAGACGTGTAGATAGACGTGGGGTTACTCCTCATCACTTACTGTATATGGCAATGAGAATTATGAGATTGAGAGTACGAGACTCTCTCAAACACGTCGGAGCGAACACAAAAATTACAAAAGACGAGATACAGTCAGAAGATTACATTCAAGGTTGTATTGAGAGTAACCTAGCTTTTTTGAGTTCAATCCCTAATTCTACTTGGTATTGGTCTGAGAGAAAGAAAGATCTGTTCGCCATGATAAGGCAATTAGGGAAACCAACAGTCTTCTTTACAATTAGCGCAAATGAGATTGGCTGGTCTCAATTATTACAACTGCTTTACAAATTGAGGAACGGTAAGGATATTTCTGAACAGGCTGTACAAGAACTGCACTACATGGAGAAGAGCACTCTTATAAATGAAGATGCTGTTACATGCGCACTTTATTTCAATAAATTAGTAAATGTTTTGATTGCCATTCTACAATCGAAACGATACAGCCCATTTAAACAATATAGAATGTTACATTATTTTAAAACGATAGAGTTCCAACATGGCGGAAGCCCACACGCTCATATTTTGGCTTGGCTGGAAAATGCTCCGGAAGATACACTACAAGCTGTCGAGCTAATTAATACACTTATTTCAGTATCAGCTTCGGAAGCGTCGGGGAATATACAGCTCAATACACATAAGCACACATTCACTTGTTACAAAAAGATTATTTCTGCAGAAGCTCAAACATGTAGATTCGATGCTCCTTTCATGCCTAGTAAGAATACAGTTATATTGACCCCTATGAAAGAGACAGAACATGATTTTCATTATCTGAAAGGACGTTATGAAATTATCAAGAGTCATTTAGAAAAAATAGATTATTGTGGTTTCGAAGATTTTTATAGCACCAACAACATCTCCAGTGACGACGAATATATCAATATTCTGCGCGCAGGGATCAACCGACCTCGGGTATTTGTGAAACGTCTGCCTTCTGAGAAATGGCATAACCCTTTTAATCCTTTTATATTAAGTGTTGTCAAATCTAACACAGATTTTCAATTTGTTACTGAGGAGTACTCATGCGCAGCTTATGTGGTTGAATACGTGAATAAAACTAATAGAGGAGTCAGTAATTTACAAAGAAAGATTCTTGAAATTATGCATGATCACCCTGAATTCGACATTGTAGATATAACAAAGAATATAAGTGTTGATGTTTTGAATCATACAGAAATGACTAGCCAAGAAGCAGCTTGGTACTTATTGCGAGAGCCAATGTCAAAATCTTCTACGAAAATAGTGTATATACCGACAGTATGGCCATTTGAACGGCAGAGAATCAAGAAAACGATGAAGGAATTGACTGAAATAGACGGAGATTCAACGGATATATGGAAGGAAAATTGGTTCGATAAGTACGAGAAAAGACCCGAAGAATTGGAAGATATTTCATTGGCTCAATTCGTGTCGAAATATTACAGAAACGTTAAGGGGGAATACGCCATGAGAGAAGAACCAAATGTGATACGATACCGAAATTACGATATGACTACAGATTTCTATGAATATAGAAGAGAAATGGTGAGTCTACATTTACCATTTCGCGACGAAGAAACGGAAATATTAGCAGATATGAAATTCCTGTCCACTTATGAAGAAAATGAAGTTTTGATATTGCAGAGAAGACAGGAATTCGAATCTAATATTGATATCGAACGAACAATCCAAATATGCAGAGAACTGTGTCGCGAAAAAACGCCTTGTGATGATGATAAAATAGAAGATGTCAGTACTCGAATTCCTGACCCGAACCCTACTGAATTGCATAATAATCCAAATGTGGATATCGATGATGTGAAATTTTTCAATATATAAAACATTATATCGATCAGATAATAATTACAGATCATAAGTGATCATTCATTTCATCTAGTTTTTATGTATATCGCCCAAAAAAATTCAAGGGTTGATTCTGCGAGGAAAATGAAGGTGAGTATTTGGTATACAATTTTTTGATGAACCTCTACCCGGAAGTATTGAAAAGGAATATTCTCAGAATTTATTTCCGCGCCCTGTATGATGAATATCATCCAAAAACTCCCCGGAAAAATTACACCAATGATTAGAAAAACGAATTGTTTTCCTTTTCTGTTCTCCTTGTATATCAATATAAAGACACGACACTTGGTAAATATTTTTTAACAAAACTAAACATTTTCTAAATGTTCTCAACCCTGAAGTATGCTTAGAAGGGGTTGATATAATATGCAACCCCTAAGATATATTCTTTCTTACAACTTTTTTGTGGATAGACATCTTTCTTCAATAACATTGGTGAGCCTTATTCATTTACTAACTGTTTCATCTCTGAAAGTTTTTTCAAGAAAAATTGTTAAAAAAAAAGTTGAAAGAACAAATATCTTTGTGGTTGAATACTTCGATAAATCATGGTTGAGAAGATTCCAAAATGTTTATTGGCAAATAATATTGGCCGAGTTTCGTGTCTTCAGCTGAATACAAAGAAGAAAAAAAGAAAAACCATTTTTGATTATTTTCAGGAGGGTGTAATTTTTCCAGGCAGAGGTTCATCAAAAAGTTTATACCAAAAGCCCAACCTAATTTTCATCACAGAATCACTCCTAAATTTTTTTCGGTGTTATTTGGATACACCCTGTATAGATATTGTATACGTATCTACAATACACATTTTTTAATAAAATCATTTGTCTTATTATTCTTTTTGTCATATTCACTAACAATATTAAAAAAATCAACTCGTAAAATTCAATGGTATACTCGGTACAAAGCATTTTCCCCCGTATTGACCAAAAGATAATGGAAATACTGACCGGCCATAAAAATCACTTTCGACGTACTTGAGGAAAAAATTATCAGCCTATTGATTCTCAAGAGTCGTTGTGTTCACGAAGAAGTGCTCAAGAAAAGATGGGAAAATTCGTATTATAAGAGAACCGCACTTGATGATGATTAACGAATTTAGTATTTGTGAATGATCTGGGAATTCACAAGGAATCACAGGTAAACATTTCCATTTATACAAACGAAGGAAATCTCACGATGCCAGGTTCTAAGAAACAATTTTTAGAACAAAAAGGTTTTATAAGAAGTTCTGGATAATTTGTGCTGTTCCTATGATGGACTTGAATAGGTATCTGTTGGGTTATGTTGAAATACAAATGGAAATATTTTGGAACCAATTTGATCAAAGAAGAATTTGAGGTTCTTTCTACATGAACAATGCTTAAAAATTATTTGAAAATTCAAAAATTTAGTGATGTACATCGATAACTTTGGTTCTTCGAAACGACGGACCTTGCTTCAATTTTGAGAATTAGTTCATGTATTTCATCTGAGTTTTCTCTGAATTTCGAATTTCAATTGCGGACTGGAGTTTCAAAACCTTAGAACTTGTATCTACTGTAGGTTTCACGCGTGGCGATGGCTGATTCAACCCAATTTTTTATTTTCAGATCCAAAATAAAAATACCTCGAAAAACTCGAACCTCTCTAAAACGTACAAAAAAATCCGAGAAATCTCGTACAAAAATAATCATCGAAACCGCCCAAAGGGAATGGAAAAAATACTTGTGTGTTCCAGACCTAGCCAATGCCAATCGAAAACCTTCAGACTCGGATGGTTTCAAATCACTCAACCTCAAAAGCCTATCGAAAAAACCTAGCCTTCAAAAGAAATCAAAAACGTGCAAACAATGCGGCCAAAATTTCGACATCATCAAAGCCTACAGAAAGCACGTAAAGATGCACCAGGAGAAGTACAAAATCTGCACAATGTGCGGCAAATCAGTGGTCAGCCTGTCTCAGCACATGAAATCAGTTCACGGGGACCCCACCAAGGAAAAATGCCCCACCTGCGGGAAGACTTTCTCCTGCAAGAAACACCTACACAAACATCTGCTGGTACACTCGGACGACTTCAAACACAAGTGCTGCACTTGTGGAAAAGGTTTCAAGGCCGCCTATAACATGCGGGTGCACATGAGGTCGCACGAAGCCGTGAAGCCTTTCCAGTGCTCGATTTGCTTGAAGACTTTCACTACCAAGCAGTGGAGGGACAAACATATGGTGACGCATTTGTGATTCAGTTGGTGGTCCTGTCAGGGACACTGATCTAACTACTAGACCGCAGTAGATGTGCTGTAACGACTCTAGACCATTTTTCAAAATTATTATTCATTTTTCCCAGATTCTACAGATATTAGTGTTGCATGGAGGAAAGTCTAATAAGAGCCGTGAATTTTGGGGTCCATTCTGCAGATTCTCGACCACTTCAAGGTCGTCTAGGATTTTTAGAAGTCTTCAAGAACCTTCAGAAGTCTTCAGAGATCTTCAGGTACCATTCAATCAATACAGCCAATAATAGGATCAAAAATTACATCATCATAATATTTGAACGAAATAGCGTTTGCATTTCGGCACGCTAGTCGTTGACAAATGACCTTGAAGTGTTGAAAAATCTGCAAAATAAACCTTGAAACTTACAGAAAAAGCCCATGGCGCTACTTTCCTTCACATTGGCTCTAATGGGGCTTTCCTCCATGCAATAATATAATTTCCTAAGAATCTGGGAAAAATTACTTGGAATCAGTTCACTGGGACCCCACCATGGTAAAATGCCCCACCTGCGGGAAGACTTTCTCCTGCAAGAAACACCTACACAAACATCTGTTGGTACACTCGGACGACTTCAAACACAAGTGCTGCACTTGTGGAAAAGGTTTCAAAGCTGCCTATAACATGCGGGTGCACATGAGGTCGCACGAAGCCGTGAAGCCTTTCCAGTGCTCGATTTGCTTGAAGACTTTCACTACCAAGCAGTGGAGGGACAAGCATATGGTGACGCATTTGTGATTTAGTTGGTTGTCCTGTTAGGGACACTGATCTAACTACTAGACCGCAGTAGATGTGCTGTAACGATCCTAGACCATTTTTCAACATTCTTTTTCATTTTACCCAGATTCTACAGATATTAGTGTTGCATGGAGAAAAGTCTAATAAGAGCCGTGAATTTTGAGGTCCATTCTGCAGATTCTCGACCACTTCAAGGTCATCTAGGATCTTTAGAAGTCTTCAGGGACCTTCAGAAGTCTTCAAGGATCTTCAGGTACCATTCAATCAATACAGTCAATAATAGGATCAAAAATTACATCATCATAATATTTGAACGAAATAGCGTTTGCATTTCGGCACGCTAGTCGTTGACAGATGACCTTGAAGTGGCAAAAAATCTGCAAAATGAACCTGAAAAATCACGAAAAAAGTCCGTGGATCTAGGAAAAAATCTACTTCACATTGTCTCTTATGGGGCTTTCCTCCATGCGATACTATAATTTCCTTAGAATCTGGGAAACATTGACTTGAAATCAGTTCACGGGGGCCCCACTAAGGAAAAATGTCCTATCTGCTGGAAGACTACTGGTACACTCGGACGACTTCAAATACAAATATAACATGCTGGTGCACATGAGGTCGCACGAACTCGTGAAGCCTATTTACTAATTATTTTGCGTCCCTGGACTTCTTTAGCAAGCCGTGACAAATCCGTAGTTTTCCGTGAGAGATGTGAGAAAAACATAACTATGAGAGATCCTTTGATTTTGCTCTGAGAAATTACTTTATTTTTTTGTTGTTAATTTGAAATGCTGGCTCAATGACTGACCAAGATGTAGCGTGCTTTTGGAATTAGAACGTTTCCAGAATCACCTTATGATTTATTATGGAAAATATTTCGTCATTTAGGTTCTCTTATACCGTTTGTTTCTTCAATCGAAATTTCATTTTTGAAAAGATTGGCTATATGATTCAGAAAATTATTTTCCATGTTGAAATGTCAGATTTTTCTGTGTGGAACCTTTCATACACTACAGCATTTTCAAAAAATGAACACATATTCCTCTAGAAAAGTAAACATCAATAGCACCAAGAAATCAAGTTATGTTGCCATCTCTGATCACTTGTTCATGAAATCACACATTTCAATATAAAATATAAAAGTGTTAACCGTACTATAAGGGTGGGATAATTGGAAATTTCCACAGAACCATTGTATAATTATTATAGCTAAAATTGTATATTTAATTTTATATTATGATAATTTATGTACTTTGATACAATAATATTGAATTTTACACTCTGTTATTGTATTGTTACTAGTTAGTTTTTTCGAAAATTTTAGTTTTTGACATTTCTATTCGAACAAAAACATTATAGGATAGATCTGATGGAGTCTGGGAAAGTTGGATGTGATATTTTTATTATGCAACGTACTATTTACATCAATATACAATTTGTCAAACATTTTTATGTTATGCCTTATTCTATTCCTATCTTCACGAAGCTTTCGTTAGGACATCATTTTCCCTATCAACAATCAACGTCCACTTAACTGTTGGGGGTTTGGTGGTTATATAGGTATAAGTCAGTAATAAAATCTGAAAACTAATCACTATGGTAGTGACACTATCCAATATTACCTATGATTCTACATTGAAAAAATAGTTGCGGTATCTTTCTCACACATCGATTTCAACAGAGCATTTTACTTTTGCACAAAATGTCGCTTACTTACTCTTATGAACTTAGCAGAACCATTTTGGAATCTTCAAGTTTCAACTTAGTTATCCGCTGGATTTAGGACAAAAATATGTATAGATTCGGAATCCTCGTGACATATGTTATGTTAGTCTAGATGGCGTTCAATGCAAAATTAGGCAATTTTTAAAATTTATCATGAATAATAATGCTTCCCTTCTTCTCTGCAACGTCTGCAACCTGCAGGACGGTCTGTATATATATAAATTTGTTATCATTCGTTTCTTAAGGAATTAATATACATTCAATAAATTGTTCGGTGGATATTTGAGACCTATTGTATTTATTCTTGGACAAAATCAGCGACCCATTTCATATTATTATGTTTTATTATTGAAAATAATTTACAGATACGGAGTTGTTTTGCATCTTTATGTAAACGTAGGAGAACCATATATTTTTTTCATGAAAAAGGGGAGGGCTATTTTTTTGAAGTGTTGAATAATTAACGATAAACTAGCGAGAAATGTTGGTGCATCAGTTATTATAAAAAATGAATAGATACCGATTGGTATGTAAACTAAGTCGTGTTGAATGATATAATGATATTTGTTTCAGCCTGGTTGAAAGCACTTCCATCGAGTACCCTTGTGAGATATGCCATAGAGTATTCGACAGCCTGGACTTTCTCAATATACACAGGAGTTGCATAACGCCCAGATTCAATTGTCGTCACTGTCCTTATGCTTTGCCTTGCGAATGTCCACAAGTGGACAAAACGTGCTTTTATTGCGGTGATTTCGTTTCCATCGAGGACATTCTCGGCCATCTGTGTTTCCACGGCGTCTTGAAACAAAAGACAGCTGTCAAATTGTATTTCTGTCCGGTCTGCCGAAAACCGTTCTCGAATGGAACCAATATGCAGGAACACCTCAAGATGGTTAGAGTGATAATTTTATGTCAAATGTGCCTTGACTTCGTCCACGAGGATCATACCTGCGACGACCAATTTTGGAGATGCGCTTTTTGCAAGAAGCCTATGAGAAAAAGGATATCGAAGAAAATGGTGGACCACATTTGCTTCCACGAGTACACCGAGAAAGATTTGGAGATTCTCGAGAAAAGTGAACTGTCGGAATGCGACAAGTGCGGTTTGATGCTCCACAAGAAGAAGATGGCGAACCATTTGAAAACGCACTTATTCGTGAAGTGCAACATTTGCGGGGAAGTTAAGACGAAGTCGACGTTACGGACCCACCTTCGGCAGGTGCACCAACGAGTGGAATGCGAATTTTGCGATCAGTGTTTTGATAGCAAACTGAAGTATCGGAATCACTGCGGTGCCGAACATTCGACCAGAATTTGCGATATTTGCGGCACCACTTTAACCACTTCTCAGGGACTCTGGAGACACAAGCAACGAGTTCACGGTAATCGAGATTTCAAATGCAGCGATTGCGAACTGAGTTTTGCAACGCGTTGTTACCTCAAGCGACACATGCTGGTGCATGGCAACGAGTACAAGCACAAGTGTCCGGAGTGCGGCAAAGGGGTTAAGAACAAATTCAACTTGAGGGTTCATATGAGATCTCACGATAAGGTGAAACCGTTCGAATGCCTTATCTGCAACAAAACTTTCACCACCAAGCAATGGAGGGATAACCATCTGAAAACGCATAGAGTTGAATGATTCTGGTGAACCAAATTTTGAAAATGCACTTTAACGCTAGAATCCTAAGACAATAAAATTTTTGTTTGTGCTCATCATGCTCAGTCTCTTGTAGCTGACTATTTTGTTCAATATAGTGGTTTTTCTGTCAATGGCATTTAACTTTATCTCACCTATCAATTAACATTGTGAAACCAAGTCGAGTTGAATGATATAATATTTGTTTCAGCCTGGATGAGAGCACTTCCCTTGAGTACCCTTGTGAGATATGTCATAGATTATTCGACAGCCTGGACTTTCTCAATATACACAGGAGTTGCATAACGCCCAGATTCAATTGTCTTCACTGTCCTTATGCTTTGCCTTGTGAATGTCCACAAGGGGAAAAAACTTGCTTCTATTGCGAAGATTTCGTTCCAATCGAGGACATTGTCAGCCATCTGTGTTTCCACGGCGTTCTGAAACAAAAGGCAGCGGTCAAATTGTATTTCTGTCCAGTCTGCCTAAAACGGTTCTCGAATGGAACAAATATGCAGGAGCACCTCAAGATGGTAAGAGTCTTCATTTTCTGTCAAGTTTGCCTCGACTTCGTCCACGAAGATCATACCTGTGAGGACCAATTCTGGAAGTGCGCTTATTGCAGGAAGGGCATAAGGAATAAAGGAAAGAGAAAAATAGTGGACCACATCTGCTTTCACGAGAAAAACGAGAAAGATTTTGAGATTCTGAAGAAGAGTGAACTGTCTGAATGCAACAAGTGCGGCTTGTTGCTCCACAAGCTGAAGATGGCGAACCATTTGGAAACGCACTTAGTTATGGAATGCAAAATCTGCAAAAAATTGATGACGAAGTTGACGATACGAACTCACTTAGAGAAGGTGCACCACCAAGTAGGATGCGAATTTTGCGATCAGTGTTTTGATAGCAAAGAGAAATACCGAAAGCATTGCAGTACTAAGCACTCGCGCACAAATTGCGATATTTGCGGCACTATGTTTGCAACTATTCGGAGCCTAGAGAGACATAAGCTACTAGCTCACCATAATGGAGACTTCAAATGCAGCGATTGCGAACATAGTTTTGTAAAGCCTTCGTTCCTCAAGCGACACATGCTGGTGCATGGCAACAAGCACAGGTGTCCGGAGTGCGGTAAAGGGGTTAAAAACAAATACAGCTTGAAGGTTCACATGAGGTCTCACGATAAGGTGAAACGTTAGAATGCCTTATCTGCAACAAAACTCTCACCACCAAGCAATGGAGGGATAACCATCTGAAAACTCATAGAGTTGAATAATTCGGATGAACGGAATTGTGAAAATGCACTTTTTCGCTAGAGTCCTAATACAATAAAATTCTGTTTATTCTCATGTTGTTCAATAACTTGTAGCTAACTATTTTCTTCGATATAGTAGTTTTTCTTTCAATGGCATTTGACTTCATCTCACCTATCAATTAACATTGTGAAATCAAGTCGACTTGAATGATATAGTATTTTTTTTTCAGCCTGGTTGAGAGCACTTCCCTGGAGTACCCTTGTGAGATATGCCATAGATTATTCGACAGCCTGGATTTTCTCAATATACACAGGAGTTGCGTAACGCCCAGATTCAATTGCATTAAATGTCCTTATGCTGATATTTCCTCTCTTTGCAAATGTCCACAAGTGGACAAAACCTGCTTCTATTGCGGAGATTTCGTTCCATTCGAGGACATTGTCAGTCATCTCTGTTTCCACGGCGTACTGAAGCAACAGGCAGCTGTCAAATTGTATTTCTGCACAGTCTGCTTGAAACCATTCTCGAATGTGACCAATATGCAGGAACACCTAAAGATGGTCAGAGTGTTCATTTTCTGCCAAGTTTGCCTCGACTTCGTCCGCGAGGATCATACCTGCGAAGACCAATTCTGGAAGTGCGTTTATTGCAAGAAGCCGATAAGAAATAAAAGATTCAAGAAAATAGTGGACCACATCTGCTTTCACGAGAACAACGAGAAAGATTTCGAGATTCTGAAGAAGAGTGAACTGTCTGAATGCGACAAGTGCGGCTTGGTGCTCCACAAGAAGAAGATGGCGAACCATTTGGAAACGCACATATTCGTAGAATGCAAAATCTGCGGGGAATTTCGGACGAAGTCGACGTTACGGGCCCACCTAGAGAAGGTGCACCACCAAATAGAATGCGAGTTTTGCGACCAGTGTTTCGATAGCAAAGTGAAATACCGAAAACACTGCAGTGTCGAGCACTCTGACAGAGTTTGCGATATTTGCGGCATTATGTTGGCCACTTCTTCGGGCCTCAGAAAACACAAGCAACGATCTCACGGTAATCGAAACTTCAATTGCAACGATTGCGAAATGAGTTTTCCGACGCCTTCTTACCTCAAGCGTCACATGCTAGTGCACAGCAACGAGTTCAAGCACAAGTGTCCGGAGTGCGGTAAAGGGGTTAAGAACAAATGCAACTTGAAGGTTCATATGAGATCTCACGATAAGGTGAAACCGTTCGAATGCCTTATCTGCAACAAAACTTTCACCACCAAGCAATGGAGGGATAACCATCTGAAGACCCACAAAGCGGAATAAAATGTTGATAATGGTATGATGAGGAATCTGACCTTCCTCGAAAATATCGCTCATTGTGCCTTACCGGTCAGAAGTAGCTACTATGATCTATTTTTGCATTTTGGATGCCCTGTTTATATTTTTGTGGTAGCTCAGATTTCTCCATTGCCGTGCCTTTTTCAATGTTGTTCTCGATAAATATATTGTATGACCCACCAATTTTGAGGTTTTGATTATTCCTTGAAAAGTCAACAGGATATACTGGTATACCTACCTATAAAATAGTATAGACATGTTGAACATTCATCTCAAATCCTCACAGGGTGTTGGGAAACTTGTTTTGAAGAGGTTCCTAGCAATTCTGCTTCACATGTTTGCTCTTATAAACACACCAAGAAATATCTCAAGACTTGTGATTTCTGCGGTGTAGCCTTTGCGAAGCAGCTGTTTGACGATCACTTGAAGCTGGTGCTGGTGCACAAGCTGTTTATTCTCATGTTGTTCAATAACTTGTAGCTAACTATTCCCTTCGATATAGTAGTTTTTCTTTCGATGGCATTTGACTTCATCTCTCCTATCGATTAACATTGTGAAACCAAGTCGACTTGAATGATATAATATTTTTTTCAGCGTGGTTGAGAGCACTTCCCTGGAGCACCCTTGTGAGATATGCCATAGATTATTCGACAGCCTGGATTTTCTCAATATACACAGGAGTTGCGTAACGCCCAGATTCAATTGCATTCAATGTCCTTATGCTGATATTTCCTCTCTTTGCAAATGTCCACAAGTGGACAAAACCTGCTTCTATTGCGGAGATTTCGTTCCATTCGAGAACATTGTCAGTCATCTCTGTTTCCACGGCGTACTGAAACAACAGGCAGCAGTCAAATTGTATTTCTGCACAGTCTGCTTGAAACCGTTCTCGAATGCGACCAATATGCAGGAACACCTAAAGATGGTCAGAGTGTTCATTTTCTGCCAAGTTTGCCTCGACTTCGTCCGCGAGGATCATACCTGCGAAGACCAATTCTGGAAGTGCGCTTATTGCAAGAAGCCGATAAGAAATAAAAGATTGAAGAAAATAGTGGACCACATCTGCTTTCACGAGAACAACGAGAAAGATTTCGAGATTCTGAAGAAGAGTGAACTGTCTGAATGCGACAAGTGCGGCTTGGTGCTCCACAAGAAGAAGATGGCGAACCATTTGGAAACGCACATATTCGTAGAATGCAAAATCTGCGGGGAATTTTGGACGAAGTCGACGTTACGGGCCCACCTAGAGAAGGTGCACCACCAAATAGAATGCGAGTTTTGCGGCCAGTGTTTCGATAGCAAAGTGAAATACCGAAAACACTGCAGTGTCGAGCACTCTGACAGAGTTTGCGATATTTGCGGCATTATGTTGGCCACTTCTTGGGGCCTCAGAAATCACAAGCAACGAGCTCACGGTAATCGAAACTTCAATTGCAACGATTGCGAAAAGAGTTTTCCGACGCCTTCTTACCTCAAGCGCCACATGCTAGTGCACAGCAACGAGTTCAAGCACAAGTGTCCGGAGTGCGGTAAAGGGGTTAAGAACAAATGCAACTTGAAGGTTCATATGAGATCTCACGATAAGGTGAAACCGTTCGAATGCCTTATCTGCAACAAAACTTTCACCACCAAGCAATGGAGGGATAACCATCTGAAGACCCACAAAGCGGAATAAAATGTTGATAATGGTATGATGAGGAATCTGACCTTCCTCGAAAATATCGCTCATTGTGCCTTACCGGTCACAAGTAGCTACTATGATCTATTTTTGCATTTTGGATGCCCTGTTTATATTTTTGTGGTAGCTCAGATTTCTCCATTGCCGTGCCTTTTTCAATGTTGTTCTCGATAAATATATTGTATGACCCACCAATTTTGAGGTTTTGATTATTCCTTGAAAAGTTAACAGGATATACTGTTCCTACCTATAAAATAGTATAGACATGTTGAACATTCATCTCAAATCCTCACAGGGTGTTGGGAAACAATGAATTTATTATTCTTTGTTACCATCATCGACAAACATTGTGGTTTAATAATCTGATGGCAAATCGAAAATACTTTTTCAGAAGTGGCAGCGTCAGAAAGCACTTGAAGAACCTTCCGGAAACACTGCAGTATTTCTGTGAAAAGCACAAAAAGTTCTTCAATTCTACAATAGAGCATTCATGCAAAGCTCTGAAGCGTTGCATATCTTGTTTTGAAGAGGTTCCTAGCAATTCTGCTTCACATGTTTGCTCTTATAAACACACCAAAAAATATCTCAAGACTTGTGATTTCTGCGGTGTAGCCTTTGCGAAGCAGCTGTTTGACGATCACTTGAAGCTGGTGCACAAGCTCGTCGAACGACCCCGAAGATGCACCAAGTGTAAGATGAAGTTTCCCAACCTCAAAGAGTACTACCGTCATAGATACTCCAAGCACAGGACCAAAAACCGCAACCGGAAGAAGATCACCGTCTGCTACATTTGCGGGAAAAATTATTCCACGAATACTTTGACTCAGCACATAAAAACCATTCACCAGAAAGCTCGGAGTTTCGGATGTGAAGCATGCGGAAAAGCTTTTGCTACCAAATACAAGCGCGATCGGCACATGATCGTCCACACGAATGAGTTGAGGTATCAGTGCCATGTTTGTAGCAAGATGTTCAAGATGCCGTACTCTCTTCAGGTGCATACGAAGATGCACTCAAGAAAAGAAGAGTTCGAATGTATCGTGTGTGGGAAAACATTCAGCACGAAGCAGTCCAGGGATAATCATCTCAAGACCCACGGGCCAGGGTAGTATATTTTTTGGCCAGATAGAAGCTAGTTGAGTCATATATGTCCATATTGTTATTAGAGCTCTCAGCTTATCATAAGTTGACCGTTACTTTTATTGTTGTTGTGACTGTTATGATCTGAATAAACATTTTTATTATGCAGTTTCAACTACTTGTGACCGTTGAGAAGTGTTTGAATTCAACAAATCATAGTGATAGACAATATCGTTGTCATTGGATCCTTGTTTCTTATATTAGGCATCACAGTGTGTGAGTGTAAACTTTTTGGAGATATCTTGATTGTTCATTGAAAAAAAAAATTGCTACAAAACATGAGGTCACTCTATTTTATAACAAAATTATGTTTTCCAGATCGTCAAATGGGACAAGAAAACACCAGTGTCGATCCTGCGAAGAGCGAATGATGAAACATCAGTGTAGATACTGCAAAGAAAGATTCGCCACCCTAGAACACCTCAATAGCCACATGGAAAACCTCGAAGCGTTTCTCAAAGTGTTCTGCAAAAAGTGCAAAAACTTCGTCAGGGTGGAAGAATCTACGTCCCATTTCGACATAACCTATTCTTGCGTATCGTGCAAGCTAATACTCTCCACGCCAGATCACCTCGAGCACAAATGTTTGCATGAGAAAACCCTACAAGAGGTGGCTAGCAAGGCCAGGAGGGAGTGTGGCATTTGCGAGAAAGCTTTCTTCAGTCTTTTGGACATCGACAGGCACATCAAGGAGAGACACTCTGCTGCGTTCGCTCACTACTGCAAATGTTGTGACGTCCGTTGTCGCTCCGAACGTGCTTTCACCAAGCACCTAGCTGGGCATAAGAGAACAGTCGCTGCCAAGCAAAAACCCCAACATGGGGCGTACAAATGCAATGCTTGTCTTGCTCATTTCGCCTCACAGAAGTTGAGAGAGGAGCATAGTAGAAGCGGGAAATTTTGCATTAGAAGGCCGAGGAAAACATGAAATGGTAGGCTTGAAGACCAAATATTTATCTCAGTTGACCATGATTTGTTTTTATACTTGCATAGAAAAATATATATATCTCTTGAAATCAGACACATCGACTGCTTCCGAACTTTATTGAAATATCCACAAACTAATGGTTCCAAAGGGTTCATGAATATCCTTATTTCTTCTGCTTCCCGACATGAAGCTTGAACGTTGTTAAGAGGCCAGCAACAACACTAAACATCTGAAACTAGCCTATGCCAATTTTGATGTTATTTCACTATTACAGAATTACTGATAGAAAACGGGGACTGTGGACCGAAGAAGCATTAAAAAGCGCTCTAGTCAGTATTAAAGATGGTATGTCTGTACTGAAAGCAGCAAGAACTTTCAAAATTCCGCGCACTACCTTGCGGAACCACATGCTAACCGGAAGCGCAAGGAAAAAGTTGGGATGCAATGCCATTTTCAGCGAGGAACAGGAGACCGAGTTGTGTAGACGGCTATGTAGGTTGGCGGAGATTGGAATGCCTTTGACAGGCAGAGAACTCGGACGATCTGTATTTATTTTTGCCGAAGAACATAATATCAAGCACAAGTTCAATAATGCTTCACGAATAGCTGGAAGGAAGTGGATGCAGCTGTTTTTCCAACGGAATCCTAATATTGTTCAACTAATGAAGGAGTCAAAGATTAAGAAGGCCAACTCATTTCATTGAGAGTTGAAACTCAAGCTTTAACAGTACTTACGCACAATGACTAATGTGATGATAGTTTCCTTGATCAAATTGAATGAGCAGTAAAATTCGTCATTCATTGTTTTTTCGGTACAGAATATGGTTATGGTTTATTGAGATTCATGTTTCTCGACAGAGACAATTTCATAATCAGTTGTTAGATTAGTTTGCACATTTTATTCGAATAATATTTATTCATAAGTATATAGAATATACTTGATGTTTTGAACTTCATATGTTTATCTCAATAAAAAATATTGGAAGCACTTTGCGTATTCTTCCTCAGATCACTTTGCAGTTGACTATTCAGCACAATAATATAAAACTATATTGCACAGTGGCATTTTGCAGCTGTATTTCTAAATGACACTTTCAATGTCTAATTCCTTTTGACTAACTCTTCTTCAATTTGAGTAGGGCAGATAATTATTGATCACACTTCGTAGATCGATGTTTGAACTTGCAATATACGAGCTGGTCTCAGTATATTATTTTTCAATAATTATAACATTGGACTCGTTTCTTCACACAAATTTTCTACTGTGTTATTTCTTCATTCTACAATTCTCGAATGGGAATCCAATAACTTGGTAGATTTCAATGCAAACAAAACACAAGCATGCCTTTTCTCTAGAAAAGCCGATCTCACTGTACCAAACATAAGCATGTCAGGAGTAACCATACTTTTGAAGACATCCATTTCCATGCTTGGTATTACTATCAGCAATAACCTTTCTTGGGAAAATCACGTGAGATCAATTGCTAAAAGTGCATCCCAAAAACTTGATTTTCTGTTTCGGACCAGGAGCTATTTCACTTCCAGTCAGCTGCTTGTGATCTATAAGGCACAGATCCGACCTGTCCTGGAATACTGTTTCCATATTTGGAGTGCAGCACCCAAACATACCACGAAACTGTTGGATTCTGTCCAAAAAAGGGCAATTCGTCTCGTGGGTGATGCTTCGCTCACAAACTCACTCACTTTTCTGGAACACCGTAGAAAAGTTGGCGATCTGGCTCTATTTTATAGATGCTCTTCTGAAATATCAACAATTGTACCACCCTTGGCAGTCCGCGCGAGATTAAACCGTCGAGTTGAGGCTTCGCACACCTTAATGGTCACTTTGGAGACCTGCAGGACATCTCTTTCCAAATACTCGTTCATCCAACGAACAGCGAGGCTCTGAAACACATTGCCAAGGGAGGTGTTCTCCGAGGCATATTACCTCCAGAAATTCAAGAAGAACACCAATTCCTACCTTATTTTCTTGGTTCTCACGATATTCTCTGAACATTACAGGATATCCTCGTGGGAACCAGAACATATAAAAAAAATTGCCACTCTTTCGCAAAATCATTGACGGCTGGGGCAACAGGCTGAATAGTGACAGTTTTTTGAGGGCTGTACAAAGAATATGGTGTGCTAAAAACTGTCGACATCTTCTAGTTGAACTGTGTTATCGGACCATAATAAAGTGATCTCATATTTTGGCTATTGATAAAGTATGGTTGGGTTTCTCTTCGTTGAATACCTTCTTGATGTTCAGATATCTTATACCTCAATAGTAATCTATTTTTGAAATCAGTATTGTGCTGACTCATGAGATTTTTCTGTAAGTATTTCCATAATAGCAACAATTCAGTATTTCTGATCATCTGTTTTAATTTTCAGAGTTTGCGTCATGAAATGCGAACAATGTAACAAAACCTTTCCCAGCAAACAAAAACTGAAAGATCATAGAAGAGCACATAAAGAAAAACACATCGAATGTGACATTTGCGGAAAAAAATTTCACCAGAAAAACATAATGATGAAACACAAACAGTTCGTACACCTAGCTGATTACAGCACCAAATGCAAACTATGCGACAGCACCTTCAAGTCCATTCTCACCCTCAATGTCCACATGAAAGGCGTGCATCTCAGAGATTACGCTTTTTCCTGTGATAAGTGCGACAAAGGTTTCTTCGTCAAGAAACAGCTGGACATCCACTATAAAGTAGAGCACGAAGAACACAGGTTCGAATGCAAGTTTTGCACGAAAAAATTCAAGACGATGCTAGGGTTGAAAGGTCATGTGGTGGTGCATGATCCTTCGCATAAAAGAACCGAGTATCTATGCCCAGTTTGCACCAGTGTGTTCCACTCCAGGACCGCTTTTACAGATCACATGAGGAGGCATAAATATGGCGACGATGACAAAATCACTTGCGAGGTGTGTGGCAAAGTCATGAGCAAAAAGTATAGCTTGAAGGTTCACATGAGGACGCATACGGGGGAGAAACCATTTGCCTGCGGTACTTGTGGTAGAGCGTTCAGTACCAATATTCTACTCACCATACACTCCAGGATTCATACTGGGGAGAAGCCTCATATCTGTCCTGTTTGCAACAAACGGTTCAGACAAAAACCAGCGCTGAATATACATTTGAGGTACCATACAGGGGAAAAACCGTATTTTTGCAACGTGTGTACGAAGAAGTTTATTAGTAAGACTTTGATGAAGAACCATAGGTGTTTGGGACCAGCTAGATAACGAGAATTATTTAACCGTGTGAATGCACTGAAAGTTGAGAAGTATTATTTTACTAACTTATTTCACGATACTGAGTGGATTATATATGGAAATATAATTATTGTTGGAAGTCCACCATACGTACATTTTGTTGAATCCTTTGGCATTGCACTGATACGAAATTAACAAATGAACCAACCAAAGTCATGCTTATACTCAATATCAATACCCAAGAACGTTGACGGACGGTATTCAAGAACAATTCATTATATTGAAGATATGAACTAATTTGAAACACTGATAAGTGTAGTGGAAGTCGTTATGGCTCACGTAAAATAATGGTTGATTAGAAGTTATTTACTTCTTTATTTTTTTCCAGAAGCAGACGAGTTATAAAATGCAAACACTGTGACAAGATTTTCTCTGACAGAGTCAAGCTGAAAAACCATTCAAGGGCCCATAAACAAAAAACGGTGTCGTGTGATGTGTGCTCCAAAAAATTTTTGTACAAAAACACCATGATGAAACACAAAAGGTCAGTCCATCTGGCAGACTACAGTCACAAATGTAGGACCTGCGATGCTGCTTTCAAAACTCCACTCACATTGAAACAACACATGCAAAATGTTCACTTGAAGAATTACACTTTCACATGCGACAAATGCGGCAAAGGCTACTTCCTCAAGAAACATCTCGAGGTTCACTATAAGGTGGAACACGAAGAAGTGAGGTTCGAGTGCGAGTATTGTCAAAAACCTTTCAAGACCTTGCAGGGTTTGAACTGCCATAAAATGGTACACGAT